TGAACTTACAAACCTTTTTTTTTTTTTCTTCAATTATAAGATGAATTACTTTCACAAAATAATCAATTCATATGCTATCTTGTTAAAACATATATCTTGAAACCATAATAACTAGCCTATAGCCTCAAATATCTGACTTTCTTTATTGTTTGTATGACATTGACATTTAAAACTGTGAAATATTTTTCTTCAAGACAACATTCATCATGCCAAACTATGTGAAATTTCTGTGCACAAATTTAAATTTTCCTTTTTAATTTTTTGTAAAAAAAAAAAAAAAGTTTCCTATTAGAGGCCAACTTTCTTAAAGGAAGGCAATAGCTTTCAACAATTTCAATATCCGTACAGTCTTACAAGGCTTTATACTGCTGTCAGATCAATTTTTGCACTTTGTTTTTGACATCCCTTAACTTTCAAATGAATTCAAAGCAGGGTAAAAACATTACACATATTCAGGTGGTTAACTCATTCCACTTCAAACAATGTTATTGTATCAAGTACAGCAGTCCCCAATACCTGTTGACCAGTTTTCATTTTTATTTACCCCCCCCCCCCAACAAAAAACCCATATATATACAGTTCATTCAACAACAAAGACAGAGAGCATGGCATTTTTAATACTGGACAGTGTAAGGAAAGGAAAAACCACAAATAATATGTTGTTGTTTTTGTTACACAGGAGACTGTTAGGGAAATGAACAAGTTTTCACATCTCCCATATAAGTTAAAGTCAATCTTAAAATGCCTCCTTCAAGACATGAGCCATTAAAAATTATCATTGTGTTTAAATAAACATCATTGTCTATCACTCCACTCCTCTAATTAGTAAGATGCCTGTGAGTGTACTGGATTTTAGCATCTTCTTCCCAATTATTTCTTATCTTGAAGCTGTACACACAATGTACATGTGACCTCCCATTTCACGAGGACTGGTAGAAAACACTACCTGTGTGTGGCTCTCAAGACACAATCAGAAATTAAATGCATTTGTTTTTATTGATTTGTGGATTACTGTCAAAAACATAAAAAGATTTGGTAAATTTTTGAACTCACCAAGGTCTGCTGTGGCCAACATGTTTCCTGACGTCTTAACTTCATCAAATTTGGCATAAACTTGATTTAATCTGAAATTTGCAGAAAAAAAAGAATAATATTTAATTTTCTCCCATGAAACATATCACTTTTCCTTCACAGGTGAAATGTAACTAAGTACAAGAAAATGTGACCATTAGACACATAGTCCCCACTGTTTTGACAGTCACTAGATTTCAGACAGAAGGAAGAAAAGTGTTTGGAGGGAAAAAGATAGCTAGATTATAGGATAATGTATGAATTATCTAGTCAATGAGAATTTCAATATGAAAACACAGAGCAATTCACAGTAAAAACATGTATATCTGTATTTCCATACGGTAAGCACATTGAAGTCTGCAGTGTAAAATATGTATTTCTGAATTTCTGTACGGCAAGTACAGAGCAGTCTGTAGAGTAAAATGTATTTCTGAATTTCCATATGGCAAGTACAGAGCAGTATGTAGCGTAAAATGTATTTCTGAATTTCCGTAGGGCAAGTAAAGAGCTATCTATACAGGGATCATTCTGGTCAGGATTTTTAGTGAGAGATTTTCTCTCATTTGAGAAATTTTAATGAGAGAAATTAGATTTTCTTGAGAGGTTAAAAATATGGAAATTTTCTAACTTTTTAAAATCCCACTGTACATATAAACAGAGGATATAAGAAGATGTAGCTCTGTTTTTTACAGTGATTTTTGTTTTCACTTTTTTAACACATGATCCTATGCTTTTAATTTTGTGAATTTTTAAACATAATAAAATTCTAATTCAGTGAAAAATAAATATAACATCTTTATTCTGAAATATAAAAGAATTATACATGGATATCTATTACAACTATTATGAGGATATAAGAAGATGTAGCTCTGTTTTTTACAGTGATTTTGTTTTCACTTTTTTAAACACATGATCCTATGCCTTTTAATTTTGTGAATTTTTTAAACATAATAAAATTCTAATTCAGTGAAAAATAAATATAACATCTTTATTCTGAAATATAAAAGAAATTATACATGGATATCTATTACAACTATTATTTGCAGCCACTGTTCCTAATGGACAACACTGTTACTGTACAGAAGTGATTGTTGAGATTTGAAGAATATTTTTTTTATAACCTTACATTTTGTTTTCTTTATTGATTCTCTTCACAATACACACCTCCCTACATTAAAAAATATATTCATTGAATATGTGACCTGAACACATAATGACAAATATCTCCATATCCACAAATATAAACAATATCTTAAGTAATTTTTATTCATAAACATCATTTTTAGTGTTATAAAACACTTTTAAAATAACACTCAGCTTCCTTTAAGTATTTTTTTTATATCACGACATCGCGAAAATATGTGACAAATGAATATTTGTCTGTTTTCCGCTGAAAATTCACAATTCTTAGCTTTTGCTGATTGCAATTATATAAAATTAAATAGTTTTGTTCAATAAAAAATATTTATTATCGGCTATTTCATCAGGAATCGTAAAAACAAAATTTTTAAATTTGTTCTTTACGGCAAAATTTACCGAGGTTGATTGTGACATTTAGAAGACAAATTTTACCGGTATTTGTTTTTGACCATGTCCATTTTTATTTTAGTCTGTGATGGTCTTACAATTTTTATTAAAATCAATTAAAAGTGTTTTGTGTAAATTCTCGACTTACAGATAGATAAAGGTCAGCCATCATACTGTATTTCTGTACGGTGAATCGGCAATTATTTTAGGCTAAATAATTCAATGTGTTGGACTACTTTTTGGAGTTTTTTTTACACTGATTTCATTAATAAACAATTTGAAATTAAATTGATGGGAATAATGAATTTTTCGTCATATTTTTGTGTAATTTTAGCATTCTTTAGATTGTGATTAGACATTTTACGGCTCAAATTGCCGTGCGAGATTTTCTCTCATTTTACAAATTTCTCTGAGATTTCGGTGATTTTTTTGCGAGAAATCGCGGAAATCGCCCCCTAGAATGATCCCTGTCTATAGTGTAAAATGTATTTCTAAATTTCTGTACAGCAAGTACAGAGCAGTCTGTAGTGCAAAGTGTATTCTGAATTCCTTACAGCAAGTACAGAGCAGTCTGTAGTATAAAATATATTTTTGAAATTCCGTTGGGCAAGTACAGAGCAGCCTGTAGTGTAAAATTTATTTATGAATTTCCGTAGGGCAAGTAAAGAGCAGTCTGTAGTGTAAAATTTATTTCTGATTTTCCGTAGGGCAAGTAAAAGAGCAGCCTGTAGTGTAAAATTTATTTCTGAATTTCCGTAGGGCAAGTAAAGAGCAGCCCTGTAGTGTAAAATTTATTTCTTGAATTTCCGTAGGGCAAGTAAAGAGCAGCCTGTAGTGTAAAATTTATTTCTGAATTTCCGTAGGGCAAGTAAAGAGCAGCCTTTGTAGTGTAAAATTTATTTCTGAATTTCAGTAGGGCAAGTACAGAGCAGCCTGTAGTGTAAAATTTATTTCTGAATTTCCGTAGGGCAAAGTACAGAGCCAGTCTGTAGTGTAAAATTTATTTCTGAATTTCCGTAGGGCAAGTAAAGAGCAGTCTGTAGTGTAAAATTTATTTCTGATTTTTTTCCGTAGGGCAAGTAAGAGAGCAGCCTGTAGTGTAAAATTTATTTCTGAATTTCCGTAGGGCAAGTAAAGAGCAGCCTGTAGTGTAAAATTTATTTCTGAATTTCCGTAGGGCAAGTAAAGAGCAGCTGTTAGTGTAAAATTTATTTCTGAATTTCCGTAGGGCAAGTAAAGAGCAGCCTGTAGTGGTAAAATTTATTTCTGAATTTTCAGTAGGGCAAGTACAGAGCAGCCTGTTAGTGTAAAATTTATTTTCTGAATTTCCGTAGGGCAAGTACAGAGCAGTCTGTAGTGTAAAATTTATTTTTCTGAATTTCCGTAGGGCAAGGGTAAAGAGCAGCCTGTAGTGTAAAATTTATTTCTGAATTTTCCGTAGGGCAAGTGAATGAAGCAGCCTGCAGTGTAAAATTTCATTCTTAATTTCCGTAGGGCAAGTAAAGAGCAGCCTGCAGTGTAAAAATTTTCTTTCTTCTCTTAATTTCCGGTAAGGGCAAGTAAAATGATGCAAAAGTCTGCAGTGGTAAAATTTATTTCTTAAATTTCCATAGGGTAAGTAAAGAACAGTCTGCAGTGTTAAAGATTATTTCTTAATTTCTGTAGGGCAAGTAAAGAAGCAGTCTGCAGTGTAAAAATTAATTTCTTAATTTCCGTAGGGCAAGTAAAAGAAGCAGTCTGTAGTGTAAAATTTCTTTTTTTTAATTTCCAATGGGCACCAGACATCAGTAAAGTAATGCATCTTGTTTTTACAATCCATAATGATAACGCTAAAATTACAATGTGTCCTATGTCTAGACATTTGGCCTATAAATCTGGGCAACCTGTAAATTGCATGACAATATAAGCATAGGCCACACTTCAATGCCACCAGAAACACTTGTGAATTAATTTTTATTAATGGTCATATATTGAGCATGTCTTAACATTAGGCAACATGTATATTCATTCAAACAAATTAGGCCAACAACCATCAGCCCATAAAGATAGCATGTGACTATGGTATAACTATAAGTGAATATTTCCATGTGTCAAAAAAGTTAAATTTTTTTAAAATTCCAGACATTTCGCTTCTGGAAGTATTAGCAATTTGTGCAAGGGTAGAAATTAATGACTGGTTGGTTTAATATCCAAACTAGAGAAACTTTTTAAGATTTTCATCAATTCCTGATATTTGCAAATATTTCTGTGTCGCAACTTTAACAACTTATACAGTGTATGTCCTCTTTAAAGTTTCATTTCTTGTATGTACTAAACTCTCTGTGATGGGGGATATTTTCAAACTGGTTAATCAACGTGATATTTTAAATTAACAACTTAAGATTTGAGATTGAAGAAAATACCTCTGTGGAGCAAATACTTGATCGCTTTGTAAGATCATTTCGTACTTTCTCACCAACGTGTCTGTATATCTCTGCTAATGTATTCAAAGCTGCCTCACGCACCTGAATATAAAAATTATGATACACAATAGTAATGAAACAAAGTCAAAAGCAGTTTTTTCAAATTACAATCAGTAGTTGGTTTTTGTTTCATTTTTAACTTGGAAGATTAATGTTACACTCAAAACTTAAAAGCCCAAAAAGGCTTAAGTTTATAAAGGGTTAAAATTTAGTCAAGATCAATGGGCCTTAGACAGTGACCTCCAATAGGGACCACCTAGACATGCATATTTTATATCAAGTTTCACGTGAATTACTTTAGTTGTTTTGAATGCAAAACTTAAAACAATTTTTTTTTCTAAATATACAAAGGGCGTTATTCAGTCATAAACTATGTCAGAATTATGGACATTGGTTAATGACCTCCAATTTTGCTGCCAAAAACGTGTTTAAATTTCAAATTAATACCTACAGGTCGTCATTTTAAGACTAAATATTTTCATGTAAAATTTAAGCCATAAATTTTTTCTCTTATTCACAAAGCGCTATAATTCAGTCAAAAGCTTTAATCACTGTAATAAGACTTAGACAGTGATATGCATTTAAGCTGCCAAAAACATTCAAAGATTCAAGTGAATACCTTAGGTTTGTTTGTTTGATGCATGTGAAAGCTTTTTTTTTAAGCAATAATTTTCTAAGTTCTATAAGAGTCATTATTCTGTCTAAATCCATTCTTCAGTTACGGGCCTTTTACAGTGGAATCCTATTATGATCACAAATAAGTGTGTGAAGTTACATACAAATATCTTTACAGCTGTTAAGGTTAAAAAAAATACTCAACCTGCCAGAGATGTTGACATTTCTTCATTTCTATCTTATTAAGGTAAAAAGTTGTACAAAAAGTTGTAAAACTTAACAAAAAGTGTGATGCTGTCAAAAGGGTTTGAGAGGGATAGCCCAGAATTTGAATGGTTGAAATAAGATATTGTGTATGAAATAAATGTTCTTCACTTAAAAGAAAACAAACCTGTGGTGTCTGATCCTCAAGGAGTTTACAGATTGACGGCACAATTTTTGACAATTGTAAACATCTTGCCCCATACCTGTTCTTGGTTTTTTACGAAAAATTAAAAAGCTTTGTAAATACAGTTTTATGGCATGATTAATTAATACTTTAATTGACTCCCTATTAATATCTTCTTGTCACAAACTGTGGGACTCTGTTAATATGGTATTGCATGGTCTTGCATATTTTTTTATGTGACATCATTTGCTTTATACAAACATGGTTGACAAGAAGCGCTCAATGTTTAGCGTTATACCATAGGCTTGTCATTAACAAAAAAGCATAATTTTCACTGTAAACTGTTCTTATGTTGGTTATGCGATAATTGGAAACTTTATATTTCTGTAAATTCATGACTTGATCTATTGAACTAGTTGAAAGAAATAATATTATGCTTACCATAGGCTCACATAATATACAATTTTATACAACCAGTACAATAAATTCAGTATTGAATTTACACACATTTAATATCCTCTATTTTTTTAAATGTTTGTATTATTACAAGTACAATGAGGACGGGTCATAAGTTTGCAGGTTTTTCAGTGTGGGTATGAGAAACAAGTAAAGTTCAAATTTTAATTTTAGACATTTCATCTCTGGAGCTCTAAAAACTTATTCTTTTTCTTGCACCTCAATAGAATTATCTACATTATTATGAGTATTGATGATACATAATACACAATAGAGATGATTTGCAAAGAGAGATAATTAGCCTATAGAATTGGATCCCAAGGACAATATTCGAGTAGCAAACTAATTTTCATCTGTTGGCACTGCTTTGCTGTATACTACCCTAGAATTAAAACATATACATAAACATTAAAACCTAGTAGTTGATAAAATCAATGAAATAAATTATGCTGAAGTCATTGCAAGAAATCCATAACTATTTTTGAAAAAAGCATTACAAACTTGATGTTCTTTCTCATATACCATAAAAACATTTATGACACATTTGAACAACATTGCAAAACAATACGTACAGCAAAAGTCCGTGATGTCTACATGTGAAAAATTCTGTAAAGTTATCAATTGAATGAAAGTATTTTGATGATGAAATCTCTCCAAGTAACTTTATATAGCAAGCTCAAGACTCAAATCAATTCACTAATATATAACACATTTTTTATTTTTTGGTGACGTTGAAAATAGCAAGTATACAGTGAAGGTCACACTTTATGCTGACTTTCAAGCTCTACTGGTAAGAGAGACCTTTGAATCTCCTCTGAACATTTTTCAAGCATGAGCCTAGTATAGCCATCAACCTTCCTGAAATTCCCAGTATAGCTCCATCTTACAAAATAAATCCTAAGTTCCTGACTTGATACGAACCCACATTTTTAAATAGTAGTGCACAGAAATTTATAGACCCCTATCTTGACCTTTTATTTTAGTAACAATAGATTTAACCACAAACATTGACATAATTATGCTGTTCTGTTCACAAATATTTTGTGGTGAAATTATTATTGTAATCTACTAATATGTTAAATAGAATTAGACACATTTATGCATTAAGAAAATGTTGAAGATGTTTAGTTCATGTTGTTATTGGGTCAGGAATTCTGTAATGTGAATGCCATGCAGAATGATACCCATGGGGATCAAACATCTTACCTATTGATTGTATTCTGTAAACAAAGCAATACACCTTCTCTAACATGAAACAATTTGTGGTTAAATGTTCCCATTATCCTCTCAAACACATACTGAAAACATTCATTATACAACATTATAGTTAGATTGCAATATTTAAGCACATTGTTATATCACAGTGTACAATATATACAACCCTAATGCAGAGAAATATACATATAATCATAATTATGCTATATTTGTTTGTTTTGTGGAATTTTAAGTCATATCAACATTGTAAGGGACAAAAGGTGACTTTCTACCCTTTACTTATTTAGAATACTACAGGTACCCCTTTGTGTATTAATTTAATCACAAGCAGACACCTAAGTAGAACCACCAACTTCCATAAGCAGGCTGGATAGCTTCCTTTATATAAAAGAATCACAAGTTCATGTCCACATTTGTGAGGGGAAAGTGATTTCAAGTCGGCAAACTTAACCATCCGACCATAGAGGCCTGTTGTTTGAATGATTGAAAACAAAACAGGTAGCTGTGGAACAGTCTGTGGTTAATGTGCCCTGTAATTGTGGGTTCAAACCCTCCTAGGGTCACCACCATGTCCCCCCAGAAGTCACCAGTACTGGTACTTTCAGGAAATAGACTTGGTGGTGATTCAAATAAGCATTAAGTTTTCACTCCATAACACTCAATATTATACAAGAATGCAATCAAAACTATCTAATTTATATATGTAGAGGTAACAAGATTGCATTTGAGAAAAATGCTATGCCACCGCATTAATACAATACTAAATAGTAGTGTAGGAACAGATTTTGTTTTGTTTCTATACAATTTTGAAGATTGTCATAATGCATAGATCCCTGACCTTATAAATAATCTAATTCTTATTATCAGATTAGTGGTTAAATCTGTTGTTAACTCAATAAAAGATCATCAGAGTAGGAATATATCAATGCACTCGAGTCTAGTAAATTTTGGTGGTGAAGGTCATATTTCACACAGCCTAAAATTTCATGACGACATCAAAGGACAACACAGTAAGACACTTTGTCAAAATCTAGGTCAGCTGAAATCAAAGTTCACTTTACATCTTAATCTGTGCACATGGTTCAAATTTCATAGCTGTACATCAAAGGACAAGAAAGTAGGTCACATCATCAAAATCTAGGTCACCTGATATCAAAGTTCAATTTTTACAACTAAAACTGTGCACCATGGTCAAAATTTCATTGCTGTACATCAAAGGACAAGAAAGTAGGTCACTGTCCCTTGGGCAAGGGCAAAATTTTGGACCCAAGGGTTCAATTCAAAACAATCTTGATATAGGTCCACCAAACAACATTTCAAGTCAAATATCTAAGCTGTAGCTTTCTCCCATTCAGAAAACATTTGTTTTATTTTCTGTTTTTACTATGTGTACATAATTGAAATCAATGCCCCGGGCAGGGCCAATTTTGACACCAGGGGAAAAATTTGAACACCTTTGGTAGAGGACCTATAGATGATATTATATAGCAAACATCAAAGCTCTATGTCTTGTTCCTTCAGACAAAAAATTTTTTATTTTTTTACTATATGTACATAATGAAAATCAATGACCCCCGGGGCGGAACCAATTTTGACCCCAGGGCTATAATTTGAACAATCTTGCTAGAGGTTCACTACACAATGTTTCATGTAAAATATCTTAACTCTAGCATTTGTAAATTAAGAGAAGATGATTTTTTAAGTTTTTACTATATAACATATAAGGAAAACCTATGGCCCCGGGGCGGGGGCTAATTTTGACACTAGAGAGCAAAATTTGAACAACTTTGGTAGAGTACCTATAGATGATATTTATTTAACAAATATTAAAGCTCTAAGCCTTGTACCTTCAGATAAATAAGATTTTTTTTATTTTTTTACTATTATGTATATATCGAAAATCAATGACCCCCGGGGCGAGGGCAATTTTGACCCCAGGGCTATAATTTGAACAATCTTGCTAGAAGTTCAGTTCTCAGTGTTTCATGCAAAATATCTAACCTTTAGCATTTGTCAATTGCTTAGAAGAATTTTTTTTTAAAGTTTTACTATAAGTTTTTACTATATACATAAAAGGAAAACCAATGACCCCCGGGCGGGGCAGATTTTGACCCCAGGGCTATAATTTGAACAATCTGGGTAGAGGTCTACCATACAATGCCTTATGCAAAATATCTAAGCTCTAGGCCTTTTGGGTCTTTACAAAGAAGGTGTTTTAAGTTTTTACTATATGTAACATATAGTGAAAATCAATGACCCCCGGGGCAGGCTGATTTTGACCCCAGGGCTATAATTTGAACAATCTTGGTAAGGGTCTACGAGACAATGCCTTATGCAAAATATCTAAGCTCTAGGCCTTTTGGGTCTTTACAAGAAGGTATTTTAAGTTTTTACTATATGTACATATAGTGAAAATCAATGACCCCCGGGCGGGGCCGATTTTGACCCCAGGGCTATAATTTGAACAATCTTGGTAGAGGTCTACCAGACAATGCCTTTTTGCAAAATATCTAAGCTCTAGGTCTTTTTGGTCTTTACAAGAAGATTTTTTTTAATTTATTCTTATAATTCCTTTTGGTTGCCATGGCAACCAGATTTCTGCATGGAAAATGAAATTCTTTGAACAACTTTGGAAGCCCTTCACCCAAGGATCAATCCTGCCAAGTTTGGTTGAAATTGGACTAGTGGTTTTTCACAAGAAGATTTTTTAAGTTCACTATATAATCTATATAACACACACACACACAAACAAACACACACACAGGTGAATCGCTATATGCCACCGCATCGCAGATGCTGCGGTGGCATAAAAAGATATTTTGCTGCCAGTCAATCAGAATAAGAAAATATATGCTATATTTTACAAAAGTCAAACTATTCTTGTTAGTTGTTCATTTTTATCATTTCTATACACTCCTTCAACTAAGAAACTAACGATTGCTTGCCATGTGCGTTGAAACTGATTCAAGAGTGTTTCAATAAGCTTATAGCTTCCAGCACAATTGAATTGAAATAAATTAGTATTAACTCACCAACTCAGAATTGACTGTTTTGAATTTGAAGTTAAAGATGTACCAAATTCAGAGTTGTTTTTTTTTTTCAAAAAACTTTTTCTTGGTTAGATGTTAAGTCTCTAAATTATATTTGTTTCCAGATTAGCAAATTAAGTGGTTACCAGTTGAAAATACTCTAAACAAATTTACCTGTGGGGTTGAGGCTGGCATCATGAGTTTCAACAGCAACTGTTGGGCTTGTTCTCGCACCTACAACATATAGAATGCAATACAGTCTTGTTCCAAAAACAAGACGAGTTCAAACATTTTCTTTCATACAAAAATAATGCATGCAGGTATACATAAACAGAGAAGAAGACGTGCATTAACAGATAGAAACTATGGTGGCTGATTTCTGCAATTCATGTTTTTTCCTCGCGACCCCACCAAGCGAAAAGTTGAAAATTTACAAGTTAAAACGGTGGGGTCACGGGACGAAAACATGCTTATTAGTGGGGGCGCAGGGCGAAGTTAAACTTTTCCCCGCAGGGACGCGGGACGCGTTTAAAAAAATAAAACGGCTAGGACACAGGGCAAAAACACGCTAATTAGCGCCCCCACCATTTTAACTTGTTAATTATTGACTTTTTGCTTGGCGGGTTGTGGGACGAAAACAAGTTTATAAGCGGGTGCGCTGCAAAGTTTTATTTATAAAATTTCGCCCCTGCCCCCGCTAATTAGCGTGTTTTCGTCCTGCGACCCCGCTGTTTTATTTCTTAAATGTTGCTCAGCGCCCCAGCGGAACAAAGTTTTATTTATTTAACTTCGCCAAACGTTAATTAGCATGTCTATGTTCCGCGTCCCTGCCATTTTAACTTGTTTATTCTCAACTTTTTACTTGGCGGGGTCACGAGACGAAAACACGCTAATTAGCGGGGGCACGCAGCAAAGTTTTCTTTATTAATCTTCACCCCGCACTCCCGCTAATTAGCGTGTTTTCGTCCAGCTATTATATTTCTTAAATCTCAACCGGCCCTCGCGGAACGAGGTTCTATTTATTAAACTTCGCCCCATCCCCTCGCTAATTAGCATGTTTTCACTCTGCGCCCCCGCCATTTTAACTTGTTAATTTTCGACTTTTCGCTTGGCAGGGTCGCGGGGCGAAAACAAGAATGGCACTAATCAGACACCATAAGAAACACATGACCATATGCTGTTGTTGCTTGTTTATAATATGCACAACTCAGTGAGCAATGTAAAAACACTAAAACAGATTTATGCATTGACTGCCCTGGTAGTATGACATGTATTAGCAAAACGTAACTGTCAAATGACATCACACTAGCACATTAATAGAAAGTTTAACAAAGGACAATCGTTATTTTTGTTTTTATTACTCATTGTCACAGTTCATCTGAACATTAAAGACCATAAATGTCTAAATGCTCTTGAATTCAATAATGTAGGCATGCAGGAATTTTAACTGGACTAAACACTTGAGCATCTATGTGTATTTATAGTTTTGCCAGTGGTGAATGCTCTAATTTCAAATTTTATCAAAATATAGAAGTTCCTATAGTAAAGTTTAGCATGGATCAAGAATACTCACTTGCTCTTTGGAGTCACCAAGCCTATCAATACATGCTGTCAAAACTATGGAAAAAAACAGAGAAATGACACAATTATTATCATTCTAATACTATAAACCAAGTATTTTTGGTCAAATGAATAACTTTAGTTACATTAGAGTATATCTTTTTACAGTTCAAGAAATAATTTACAATCATGTTAATTCAATTAATGACTGATTACAAAGATTTATATGTACTGCCACAGTTCTACTGCATAACTAACAAAGTCAGGGCTATTTTTTGCATATTCTCTCCCATTTTTAGTAGCATATGCAGATTTCAAGTGCTTCAATTTGTAAATTTCTTTCTTTGCTCACTTGACAATATTTTACTTTTTGATAAATTTTAAAAAAATCCATGAAAATTAGCATGAATCTGGAAACAGGCAGCTTATAGATTTAAGTTCAAATGAAAAAAATATTCTCTTATCTAACTGAGATGAACTATTTTCATCAAAATGCAGGATATATTTATTCACATGAATAGCTTAGCGCAGCACTGTTCACTTGGTGCATGAAAGAGACAAAACTGACATTTTAAGACATGATGCCACTGGAATTAATATTTCCAGATTTTACACCATTTAATGTAGGTCTATCAAATTAACTCCTAAGTAAAATTTCAGATCATTCATTCACTCCAATTTTTTCAGAATTATCATTTTATTTAGCGAAATGACCTAAGAAATGAAAAGGGTTATACACTTTTGACTCAAATCTTGCTAGGGCATGCACTAAATACATCAAATTCCAATCGAATTCCTAGCATATACTTAGACAACTAGTATATTTGACTATCTCTTTTACCTTTTCACATTTTTTTAGTTTTAAATTCCCCACTTGATGCATGTAAGAATTTCAGATTTTATGTTTAAGGCTTTTAGACCTCAGTGGATTTCCCTTAACTCTCCTCATAATGTGATGTATTACCAAAATCTTCATTCAACATCACTCAATTACGTATTACCAAAATCTTCATTCAACATCACTCAATTACGTGACATTACTATGATGTCATAGGACAATTTTATCTTTTAAGTTGTCTACTTTCCTTTATTTTCAACACAGTTGATGGAGACCAAAACTAGTTTGAAATATTGAAAAATCTTTTTTCTTTGTAACTGGTTGTTAAATTTTAGTAATTGTGCTGTCAAACTCATGAAAAAGTAGAGAAACTTGTGAGAGACTGTTATACCTGTAGTAACATGTGGTTTAAACTCTTCTCCCATTCTATCAATCATAAGGCAAAGAATCTCCAATCCATTTAATGAAATCTGTAAAATATAAAAATACAAATGTCTGATATAGCGATAACACAAACTATTACAAGAATATGAACTTTTTACATCAGTCTTTCAATAAAATGATCGCACAGACTTGGCCTGTTACGATGTTGGTGAATTCTTCACTACAAAGTTATCAAACATTTTTAAAAAAAAAATGGCAACTATGGTAGGCTGTCTTGTACAACACTTGGCACTTTGACCAAGTACAAGCTGTACTTCTCACATGCTGTGTCACAGGATGTTCTCAAAAGGTATCCCCTTACATTAAGTAGGTGCCAAAGAACGGTAATAAATCTAAGGCAAAAAACTTCTTTTGTTATATCACCCTTACTTATATCTTGATAAGTAATGCAATAATTATTCAAAAATATATATATAATGTTAATGATACAGCAATATTGAGTGATAATGGTTCCCTGATATTGTTTTGACACAGCTAAAATCCATTTCTCAGAGGAAAAATAAGTAAAACCTAATTTTAGACTTAGTGACCTTGACTAAATCAACTCAAAATCACCTCAAGAGCTCAACTGCATGGCAAAATGTCAAAAAAAATCAGTCAATAGATCAAGGTGTTATTAAGAAACAAAGAGAAACTGTAACAGGTACATGAAGGAAGTATATGCTAGCATATGCTCCATGGAAAATTTCATTTCATTGATTTAACTGTTCTAAGGACACCAGTTTAAAGCTCGGTCTATTTGCATGTCCATGCAGCAGTCTGAATGAATGGCAACTTCCCAACTTAACACTGGTGAATACTAGCTACCCAATATTAATTTAAATTTTTTTTCCCCATGTTTTTCATGTAGCATTATTTAGGAGCCGACTTTAATCAGATATGATTCCATTAATTGTTCTTCTAGATATGCTTTGGGCAGGCACCTATAACAACCCCTTAATTTCCTTACCAAGATATGATGTAGGACTTTATCAGTCAATAAACTTGTACTTTCTTTTTGCATCATGTAACCAGGAACACCAAAACAATTTGCTCCACAAGCATTTACTCTACTGTTGCCCAAAAATCAATGAATCCCATCTCATAAACCATTTGTGCATTGCGCAATGTTTTCTGAAGGAATTTTATATCCAAAGAATGAAACTTGGTCAATCAATAAATCCAAAAAAAACACTCTTAATACAGCTTTATCATTCACAACACGAATATTCTATTTTTTATTCTCTCATGGCAAATTACACTTTTTCAACCACATTCTCAATATCTTCCATATGCTATATATTGTGTTATTTCACTTCAATTACAATATATACATTAATAAAACATGCTACGGCAGATAGCCACAACACAGTAAAGCTGTAAAATGATATAGCTCAATACCGCCGTCACAACAAATACCAATACAGACACACCCCTGGAGAAATGAACATTGCTTCTGAGAACAAAATCAACATTTTTCACTTTTTTTTCCTAGTAATCTTCTATTTAACTATCTTGTAGCCTTATAATAAAATATCGTCATAATCTTAGTGGTACTGTTAGTTACCGTACATAGTTTATCCAAAAAAATTGCTTATCAAATAAAAATGGCTGTCTGTCTCCAGACAGGGCAAAAAACAATATAGCCCTGAACATTTATTGCTAAGGTGAAAAAATACAGAAAAACATATAAAAAAAAAAAGACTATCAGATATATTTACAATATCGTTATTTGTAACCAAAGAAACAATATTTATTTAGCTGCCAGTACAGCTGATAATAACAGATGAATATTGCCTCATGTATTGTAGGAAATCAATTTCATCTGCAGTGTTTAGCATGATGAACATAATTGTAAAATTTGTATCAACCTGAATAAATCCATTGAGACATGCAACAGTTTTCAAAAAGATCAATATAAGTACTCAATTTTGGACAGAAATTCAGCCCCATAATTTCAGTCCCATTCTCCTACACAATAAGTATATATTTCCCCATATTTCAGAAAATAATCCATTCCAAAAGTAAAGAAAACAATCTTTTTGAGAACCATTTTGTCATTACAGTAGGGCAGTGAAGGACATTGTATTTTTAAAAAAAATATATTGGTTTTTTGTCTTAGTTTGACATAAAATGGACTGTTCTTTCTGTTTCTAAATTTTCCTTTCTCACCCTCTGCGATACAATTTCCCCCTCTCATTATGGACCCTGTTACCAATTTCCCTAACATTGAAAAAAACACAGGTGCTCGTTCAAGCTCAACATCATATAACTCTAAAAATACAAACTTTTTTACCATTTTGTATTTTAATAATAGCTTTAAATAGTCGAGACTTCTTTGTCACTGTCATATGTGATAGAAATAAATAAATCAGACAACACATATTTGCAGGTTTGGATGGATCTATACCTATGGCAAAGGATGTTAACCTCTTCCAGTTCCAGCACACAGTTAGGTTATCTAACTTATCTTGGTATGAACAAGCACTTAAGCCACTTACAGTGTTTAAGGAAATGAATCATGTTACATGTTATGAGAACTTGAAAGTAATTATCTCTAATTAGAATGTGCTAATATAAAATAACATTTCTGTAAATATTAAATCCACAAATTAATAATTAATTTATCTCTTAGCAGACATTCATTGACCAGTAATTGCTAATAATGTTTAGGAAAAATAAATAAAACTACAAAAAAAAACAGCAAAAAGACTGTCCCTCTCTTTTTATCAATGTGACATTTACCAATAAATTATATGTATGGTAATTTTATTGTGTTATGCGAGTTATCTTGCTTATTTAAATATAAAATCGAAAACAATTATGGCAAAATATAAAGATATTTTGACTTTTATCTTTATATGTATACGCAATTGACACTTGTATGGACATAATGTCATTTTAAACTATCTCCAAATGATACTCAAAACTTTAATCAAAATCTTTTGCTATCATTATAAAATAAGCTGGAAGATGAAGCATTACCAATCAAGAGTGATCAAAGTATTAAATTTGCTAGTAACTTCTTTCCTTAGAACATTAGAACTTACCTTGTAGTTGCTACAGGTTACCCAAGCTGTCAAACCTTCCACCAGTGCATCCATATCATCACATGACAGGGAGCTTCGTGGATCACTAAGGTACCTTGACATCACCTCGTAACATTGTTGTCGCTTTCTTGTATCCTGTGTCGTCACATTAGGCACAAAGTCAGAAAGAGTTCCAGTCGCCATGGTGCTTGGATAAATTGGGCTAGCAGTCCAATAACCGTAAGCAAGACTGTTTTTAAATGCAAGTCTGGAAGCACCCAAATGTCTAAAAACTTGATTCTTTCTTTCTTATATCATATTTGACACCTGGAAAATATACAATACAGTTTAATATCTATCTATTTCCTTATAATGTTCAACACCTTGCCAGTTTATAGACATGATTGAATGATAGTTAATTATATATACATGTACTTATTAATGTTAAAGACAAGGTCTAGTTTAGGCATCCATTGAGTTTATCTCCTGGGTTTCCTCAAAATTATGGTGATTAGTAACAAGAACCTAACCCTTAAAAATGAATGAATAAAACACATACTAAATATCATTTGTATATCAAAGATATAAATCTTTTCTTAGGTAGTAGAGGAATCTGGGGTGGGAAACTCAAAATTATTGACCTGGCTGCATGTTGTACACCTGTTTCCCCGGATGTGTTATGTAGCTGATTCATTTCATAAAAGTAAACAATGACTCTTAAACTTATTCTAGTGAAAATTTATGAAAATACATACAATGATACTTAACAAACAACCATTTATGATTATACTCAAGTATTGTCCGTATATTTACGCTAACCAATTGCTGGAGATGATGAGTATAAATAATGTATCATTGCATGATGTACTGACCGGATGTACATAGACTGACAACAATTATTACGCAATAATTTCAGAATAATGGAAACTGAAACAAGCTTTGTAATTAGACTAAGTCATTTGAATTAAATTATGCTAGGCCATGCCTTTTTCCAACTCTTACAACCAATTGCATTTTTCTACACAGATAAGGCCCATTTGAAGTTGTTGGGATAACTATCAATTTTAGGAAGGAGCACCCAACTTTACCTTATACATATCTGTAGTTTTTTTTAAATTCCCAAGATTTCATTCTTCAATAAAGAATTGAAGACCAATTATTTCTTACTCAACGGTAAGAGGCCATTCTGTCTACCATGTAACCAGTGCATACATGTTAACTTTTTTCAATGATCAAGTGGGAGACTTTTCTTTAACAAGAGCACCGCTAGGCGGAGCATTATATGCCCGAAAGTGTTTTTTTCTTTACTAAGGATGAAGCATTTGTAAGTCATTACATAAATTAAATAAAGTATTACCTCCTTCAAATAGCAATCCTTATATAAAGTTTGAATATTGTGGGCCAAATGGAACTTCAGTTATGCTCTGGAAACGGTTTTTAGTTTTGAGGTAATAGCTACCTTGAACTTTGACCGTGTGACCCCAAAATCAATAGGGGTGTTGTACCCAATATGGACAATCATCCTATGAAGTTTGAATATTGTGGGACAAATAGACCTTAAGTTATGCTCTGGAAACTGTTTTCAGTTTTAAAGTAATAGTGACTTTGACCTTGTGACCCCAAAATCCATAGGGGTCTTCTACTGAATGTAGACAATCATCCTATGAAGTTTGAACACTGTCGGCCGAATGGAACTTAAGTTATGCTCCGGAAACTGTTTTCAGTTTTAAGGTCATAGTGACCTTGACCTTTGACCTTGTGACCCCAAAATCAATAAGGGTCTTCTACCCAATATGGACAATCATCCTATGAAGTTTGAACACTGTCGGCCAAATGGACCTTAAGTTATGCTCCGGAAACTGTTTTCAGTTTTAAGGCCATAGTGACCTTGACCTTTGACCTTGTGACCCCAAAATCAATAGGGGTCTTCTATCCAATATGGACAATCATCCTATGAAGTTTGAACACTGTGGGCCAAATGGAACTTAAGTTATGCTCCGGAAACTGTTTTCAGTTTTAAGGTCATAGTGACCTTGACCTTTGACCTCGTGACCCTAAAATCAATAGGGGTCTTCTACCCAATATGGACAATCATCCTATGAAGTTTGAATGCTGTGGGCCAAATGGAACTTAAGATATGCTCCAGAAACCAAATTGCTAACGGACGGACGGACAGACGGATAGACAGTTGGACGGACGGACGCCAGGGGGTATAACATAATATGCCCGAAATTCTTTCGGGCATATAAAAAGAGGGAGATTTAGAATTTGCAATAAACAAAGAAGGAAGTACTGACTTCAAAAATAGGTAGGTTTCTTTCATTTGTGTATGGAGAAAAATCTTTGAAAATATGGCTGCAGATATAATTATGCAGTTAAATATGGCTGAGTTTCCCGCAAAAAGTGGGAGAGTTCACATGTATGATACATGTAAACATTAACAGTCTAATTTACAGTCTCCCTTTGTCTCCTTAGACCGGCAAAAACTAGAGACCACAGCTGCACATACATTTTTTATAAGTCTTTTCCAATTCAGTCATTTCAATTGCTTCAGTAAAAATTAAATGTAATAGTCCTTAAATTGTCTCCAGTGAAACCAGATTCACCAGATTCATTTTATTAAAAGGTATCAAAGAAAAGATTTTTTTAATATAACGTCATAACATTGTTACATGTCTGCTAAAGATCGCTGATATGCGTTATGACAGCTGTAATTCAATTAGTTTTTGATAAGTAACTTAAAATATTATATATCCTTATTTTTAAAAGCAAAGACAGAAGTTTTCTGAGAGAAAAGACAGAGGTTTTCTGAGCTTAACAGTTTAACACTCTTGCCAAAAGATTGATAAAATGAGTTAAAATTAGGTGTAACTGTTTGACAGTGCCAAAAACAGTGACAAGAAAATAGTCTGTTAAATGTACTTAATTTTACCAATGTAGTTTCAAATATACTTGTAAATATTTATTATGTTTACCATATCTGAAGAATACACTAATGTACAATTCAAAGTTTGTCACTTATTTCATATTTCTTCACAGATCTAATTGACATTGCTATTAATGTTCAGGATTATCAAATAATTGTGAAAACGATAATTGGCTATCTAGACTTTAAGGGGAATCTGTTTGCAGGTATCTTTAAATTATGATTTAGAAGTGGCTAGCCGTACAGACCAGTATTGCTAGCCAATGCACACACTGTACGCCATTTTTTCAATAATAATTTTCACAAAGAATGAACATGTATATTTTCATGTTTATTTCCCTAAATAATTTTTGGATGATGTCTGGCCATTTATCTCATGACAAAATATCGGAAAGATCTTTCAACAAGAGGGCCATGATGGCCCTGAGGTCGCTCACCTGTATATAGGCCCCCCACCCTCGGGCCAATTTTTACCCAAGGGCTTTTATTTGTTTATTTGAACAGACTTGGTAGACACCCATAAGAAGATGTTTCATGCTAAACATCTAAGTTCTAGCTCATTGGCTTTTTAAAAGAAGATTTTTTAAAGTTTTTACTATACACATATAGTTAAAAACAATGTCACCCCTTGGGCAGGGCCAGTTTTGACCCCCGGACATTTATTTTAACAAACTTTGTAGATATTTACTTAAAGATGTTTCATGCTTAATATCTAAACTCTAGCTATTTGGGTTTTTCCAAAGAAGATTTTTAAGTTTTTGCTATACACATATAAGGAAAATCAATGACCCCCCCCCGAGCGGGGCCAGTTTTGACCCCAGGGCTTTTATTTGAACATACTTGGTAGACACCCATTAGAACATGTTTCATGCTAAATATCTTAGCTCTAGCTCTTTAGAGTTCTTTAAAAGAAGATTTTTTAAGTTTTTACTATATGCATATAGGGAAAATCAATGACCCCTGGGGCGGGCCAATTTTGACCCCAGAGCTTTTATTTGAACAAACTTGGTAGACACTCATTAGAAGATGTTTCATGCTAAATATCTTAGCTCTAGCTCTTTGGGTTCTTTAAAAGAAGATTTTTTAAGTTTTTACTGTATGCATATAGGGAAAATCTATGACCCCCTTGGGCAGGGTCAATTTTGACCCCAGGGCTTTTATTTGAACAAACTTGGTAGACATTCACTAGAATATGTTTCATGCCAAATATCTAAGCTCTAGCTCTTATGGTTCTTTAAAAGATGATTTTTTAAGTTTTTACCATATGCATACAGGGAAAATCAATGACCCCCTGGGGCGGGGCAAATTTTGACCCCAGGGCTTTAATTTGAACAAACTTGGTAGACACTCACTAGAAGATGTTTCATGCTAAATATTTTAGCTCTAGCTCTTTGGGTTCTTTAAAAGAATTTTTTAAAGTTTTTACTATATGCATATAGGGAAAATCTATGACCCCCTGGGGCGGGGACAATTTTGACCCCAGGGCTTTTATTTGAACAAACTTGGTAGACACTCATTAGAAGATGTTTCATGCCAAATATCTAAGCTCTAGCTCTTATGGTTCTTTAAAAGAAGATTTTTTAAGTTTTTACTATATGCATATAGGGAAAATCAATGACCCCCCCTGGGCGGGGCCAATTTTGACCCCAGGGCTTTAATTTGAACAAACTTGGTAGACACTCACTAGAAGATGTTTCATGCTTAATATCTTAGCTCTAGCTCTTTGGGTTCTTTAAAAGAAGATTTTTTAAGTTTTTACTATATGCTAGAGGGAAAATCAATGACCCCCTGGGTCGGGGCCAATTTTGACCCCAGGGCTTTTATTTGAACAAACTTGGTAGACATTCACTAGAAGATGTTTCATGCCAAATATCTAAGCTCTAGCTCTTACGGTTCTTTAAAAGAAGATTTTTTAAGTTTTTACTATATGCATATAGGGAAAATCAATGACTCCCAGGGCCGGGGCCAATTTTGACCCCAGGGCTTTTATTTGAACAAACTTGGTAGACACTCACTAGAAGATGTTTCATTCCAAATATCTAAGCTCTAGCTCTTATGGTTTTTTAAAAGATGATTTTTAAAGTTTTTTCTTTTGGTTGCCATGGCAACCAGAGTTCTGCATGGAATTAAATTCTTTGAACAATTTTTAAAGGTGACCACCAAAGGAAAATTCCTGTTAAGTTTGGATGAAATTGGCTCAGTGGTTTATGAGGAGATGTCATTTAAAGCAAAAGTTTACGGACGGACGGACGCCGGACGAAAAGCGATCACAAAAGCTCACCCTGTCACTTTGTGACAGGTGAGCTAAAAATAAATTCACCTTTAATTTAAGAGTTTTTGTGAGCCAATGTAAATTTAATTTACAAGTTATAAATATTAAAACTACTTTGTAATAAACTAA